ACATATAATTATAGATAATTAAGTATATAAAATTAAGCATTTACATCATACCAAGTAAATTAATATCAAATTATTTAGTTGGTGTGACGTAAAATTAAAACAATAATTCAGAATGATCTGTAATGTGATAATTAGCTTAATAGCTGTGATTCAAAGGCAGAACTTCGTTACATTCAGCGCTGTGTCAGTTAAACTACCTAAGGGTTATTTCCATCTTCGAAAATATCGTTCAAACCTGAGTGAACTTTTGTCGGATGAAAGTATCGGTAAAGCTCACGGCAATTTAATAATAAACAATGCCTAAAGTAAGACATTTACTGGTCTCCATCCTTGGATACTTTGCATTTCCAAGTTGGAATACTCACCACCAGAATATTTTACAAAAATATCTATCTCATCTTCCACTTTAAAAATTTTTGACCCACACGGTTTATTATCTCTCTGCACAATTAAACCTTTTGGCTTTCTTTTCCAAAAACTATGGTCTAAACAATTATACTGGGATGAACCAGTCTCTCCACACATCAAGGCACTTTGGCTAAAATTTGCACAATAAGTGCATTATATTTCTTTAATCAACTTACTGCAATATGCTTTAATACAAAACCATATATCGATAGAGATGCATTGTTTTTACGACGCCTCTAAGGTTGCCTACGGAGCGTGTACTTATCTCAAATCCACACATGCAGGCGGCAACACTCAAGTTAACCTGTTGATGGCTATGGCGCATGTCGCTATTAAAGACCACTAAAATTCCTCAGATGGAGTGTGTGGGTATTGAGTGATGCGTCTCTATAAAGGACAAATGAAGCGAGTGATTTGTGAGCCCCTTACTGAATAGGTACGCAGATTTCATTGCTCAAGCCACTCCGTTTTCCTCAGCTGTGTGCGATGCATCAAGATTGGTTCGAATATCCAGCGATAGCACGTAGCATTGAACAATGAACATTCATTAGGCACATTACGACATATCAAGACATAGAAGCGGCCAACGATAAGAAACGCGAAGCTAATAAGTCTCTTTATGCTAAGTGTGCATAGAAAATAAGTCAAAACATGTCCTCTTTTTCATTGTCTGAATTCATTGACTGATGTTGAACAATTTTGGAAAACAGTCTAGATGTCTTAAGTTTGCAGACTCTAGGTGTCTTTTGTTTGTCTTCGAATTATTTTTTATTTCGCTGACATGCGGGTTTACCTGTAGACGTTTTCCTCCAAAGTCGAGCACGTAAATAATTAGCAGCCAAAATTGCAATTCACACATCACTAGTGCCGGTGATTAAATTCGCGTTGCGTTGTTGCGTACATGTATGTTACCGCGAGCGTTGAGCCGCTGAGCTTCCGCGGCTTATTATTATACTATGTGGGATCTTGAAATCTTGAAATGAAACAGCACGTGGGTGTTGCGTGTACAGCAACGGGGTCCGTTAAGATGACATTCAAATATTAACGCAAGAGATAACCATAAAAATAAATGAGTAAATATCTGATCGCTAAGTTACGTGACTTAGCGTTCATTAATTTTTATAGTTTTCTATAGCGTTAACGTTTGTCGAATGTCACCTTGGCTAACCCCCCTGGAATATGCTGCGCGCGTCACGCTCACGCAATTACTGGGCCACGGTAATTAATCGTTAAAATGTACAAAATTAGATTTGTGTGCATGACGACTATATTTAAATTGAGGTTTTTTTCTCGAGGTTAAATTATTGTTTTAACTTTTTTATTTTAATGGCAGGCGAAATCGATAGCGTGAAGACTGCATGAATAATAATATTTTGCTAATTGTATTGTGTGTATTATAATGTTGGTTTCTCAATTGTAAATCTTATTTAAAATTTAAAATCAGACAATTTTTACATCAGACGTATAATGTCTTACGAAACAGTTATATGCTAAAATTTTGTGGCGGGTGATAGATATTACATAATGATGGGCTGTTATTGTGATAAGAAGACCGTCGTGTAGAAGCGGCGTAAGATATTCTACTACCTCATATTATCCCGTGGGTGCCACAATAAGCAAAACAGGGAAATAAAGCAGGAGATGAGCAGCAGTAACTTCCTGACAACAGCTCAAAATAATAATACAAACTTCGATTGCCAACCTGACTGCTGAAAGTGGGAACTATGACAAAAATATCCCCTTAATTGAGTTAAATCTATATTGCCTATGTTTCACCCTAGATGCGTCGCGATTTTAGGTAGTTATTTCATTCTGGTAGCAAAAGTGACAGAGGTCTGCCCGGGATTCGAACCCAGGACCTCATGATCAGCAGTCGCACTACTACCACCACTAGAACAACGAGGCACTTCCGCGTACGACCTCTCTATGGAATAGTTTACCACCGGCGATTTTTACGGACCGATACTTCCCGAGGACCTTCAAGAAAAGAGCTTACTCCTTTCTAAAGGGCCGGCAACGAACCTGCAATCACCCTAGTGTTGCGGATGCTCATGGGCGGCGGTAGTCACTTAATATCAGGTGAACCATATGGTCGTTTGCCCCCTCTTCTATAAAAATATGTTCAGTATTGAACTTTGATGGACTGTAATGCTGATAATCAATTTATGATGAATGATTGGTACCGTTCGATAAAATGCATCGATGTTTGGTTTTACGGTACCAAATTCTTTCCAAGTGCTGAACAGTGTTTGTATGCAGTGCACCAATGATACTGACGAATCTCATTATCTGAATATGTCGAACCCAGATTCCAGATAATGACGAGGAGATTTACCAGTTTGAAGTCTGAAATTGTTGAAAGTGATGAAATTGTTATGATAATGATGAATGTATTAAACGCAGTCAGCGTTCTTGTGGAGAGTATTATAATTTAATGTATATTATTACGTAATGCAAATACATATAATTTAGTATAGCAAAAAGTATTAATTTACATAATAACGTGATACATACATGTTCTATTTATGTGTTTTTATGTTCGAAAGTATACTTTTACAAATGTCCGTTGTGTAAGTGATTAAAAATAAAACTGGAAAGTATTAATTAACTTAATCTATTTCGGATTCTGGAAATGACCTGTGAGACTTCATAGTAGGGATGTTACGGAAGTGGTTATATTGGACCCGGTTGCGAATTCGATAGCAAAGTTTTAAATTTGGTTTGTCAGAACCGGAACCGGAATCGGAGGTAAAGGCAGGGGTATAAAATTACACACATTATTCGTTACAAATATATTCAGTAAGAAACTGCCTTCGCCTTAATTGATAATTCGGCTCTATAAACTGCATAAGTCCTCTGAATCCAATACCTTCCACGAAAAGAAAGTGCAAAATCAATCGCAAGTTCCGAACTTTCGGAATTTTCATTGAACCTCCGTAACATCTCTACTTCATAGCCTCCGACAAATGGCATACCACATAGAATATGATAGATGTTAATACGCAGACTGTCGATGAGAAGCCAAAGGTGTGAGACATCTGGTACTGCGATATGCAATTCGCCTGCTGTACGGAAAAGACCCATGTCCAGCAAGGCACTGCCAAAGGTTAATAAAGAAGAGCAAGAGTGCATTTCTCGTCTTTGTAAAATTATTAATTAATTTTGGATTCTGTGAAGTTGATAGCTCAATTATATAGTTAATTTGTAACAATAGCGAGCCCTCTCACGAAGTTACTTTTGTAGATAATTGAATTGTCATTAACGCATACATTCAGAATTTGGCATCTATATTCTATACTCATTAACCCCCAATGGAAACGGAGGGGTATTATAAGTTTATAGTGTGTATCTGTGTGTAAGTGTATCTATGTATCTCTGTATCTGTGTGTCTGTATATGGTATCATAGCAACTGAACGGATGATCCATAGAATACTATAATACACGATAGAATGGCTGTCAACCTTATTTTGTATGAGGATAGGCGTCGCCGGGAGCACACATACAAGCAATTGCGTCGTATTATCAGTTAATTACTAGTACAAAACCGATTCGCTGTGTTGACAGACGGATTTTAATATATATTTATTTGTAAATAGCGTGCAATGTGGCATTTTTTAAATATTTACATGCGAAATTTGGAAACGATTGTAACGTCAAAACACATCTCGTATTGACATTTATACGTGTGAATTGACGTGTTAGTGGCATTTTAGTGGCTACACGGGCTCCGCCCACTCCCTCGTTCTATTATGTATATATTATAGCATTCTATGGGATGATGGGATTTTTGTTTGAAAGGTGTCTTTATTGAGAGTGTTCTTAGATATATTTCAAGAAAACCTGTTCAGCCGTTTGTAGATCATCAGATTTTTTGTTTCGGGGGTTTTTTAAATTTTAAATTTATATCTATTTTTGAAAATACAGATGCGAGTGTTTTAATCTCTTAACCACAAAGGAAAACTCCAATTTTCTACATTAAAATATCTCAGCTAGCTCAAAAGATCTGCTCGAAATACAACTTTATAGTTTTAAAAGCTTTGACCGCCGATTTCTCAATATACATTTTTTTGGATAGTGCCGGTATCGTTCTGAGCGTGCGATATGATTATATTTGTATATATTGTATGTAATTTAAAGTACATTGGGACAAAGAATAAAATTACTCTTGATTCGGTAATGGTAAACTTGATTGAAATACTGAAACTTGGGCAGGGAAGCTAGTTTGGAAATACTTAAAATTAAAAATAATATTTTTGGAGTTGTTGAGGAAACGAAGGAGGTTACAAGTCGTCGAACTCTTAAAATTATATTCATTTCAAAATAAGTGATATTTGCCAGTGGTTATACAACCTTCTCGCGATTTCAGTGTCTTGTGTCTGTTGAACGTTCGAATAGAACGGTGCTGCGAAATCCAAACAGGAAGCTTGTTTAGACTTACGTTCGATAATTTATAAAAAAAAAGTTATCGGAAAACGAAATAAAATACGTAAGGCCAAAAATTAAATTAATAATAATAAATACTTAGGAGTGTGAAAACAGTTATGTGTGTGCAACTGATTGTGATTTACTAACTTATTGAATAAACTTAGTCATGTTTGGCAATTCCTTTTTTAGCTGGTAAGTTTAAAAAATATTTTTATACAAAATTTGAAATTTTGTCAAATAATTTTATAGATAAAAAAAGAAACCTATTTCAGTCCGTTAATTCCAACTGTTTTTAATTATAGATTCATAATTAATTTTAGCATTGGTATCTGCATCATATTATGTACATAATATTATAATAAATTAAATATAAAAATTAGCATAAAAATTGTAATAAATTATTTTATTATAATTTTTATGCCACAAGAAACTATATTATAATCAAGTGACGGCTCGTAGGCGCGCTGCGATTTAGGTCCGTCACAAACATACGGAATTCCGTTTCGGGATTCCGTTTCGGAATTCCGATTCGGGATTCCGAACGCAGCAAGTCCATATAAAATCAATGACCCTTCACACCTACGGCAGTTTTCCGTACGGAATTTCGAATGTGTGTGGCCGACTCGTTCATTCCGTTTCGGAATCCCGAAACGGAACGAACGTAGTATGTGGCCGGCCTTAAAAGGGACATTGTAAATCTATACAAATAAGTAAAATAGGAAAGTCTGTTTGTAATGTCAAAATATCAGCTTTTTACCAATTGCATATGAAAGTATATACGGTACTTGCAACAAAAACACAACTTTTAAAATTTTTGTTCATCTGTCTGTTTGTTCCGGCTAATCTCCGAAATGGCTGGATCGATTTTGATGGAATTTTCACTAGCAGATAGCTGATGTTATAAGAAGTAGCTTATACTACTATATTTTCCTGGTTGTAGTTTACGGTAAAAGCAAATATCAGTACCGCTGGTGAATGTCACTTAATCACCTTGTATATTTATCATAAGATTTTGCTTAAAGATATTTATTTTAAATTAAAATTGACAAGAGCACCAGAAAATAGCTGCGTGTTATTCTGCGCTTACCCGCGAAAAAAAAGGGTTTTTATATTTTTTTATATATGACATCTTTATGAAATTTAAATGGGACCATTTCGGAATCAACCTCTTCGAACAAATAAATAATTTTGCAAATCCGTCTATAATACATAAAAAATATAAACACCCGAATTGCGAATCTCCTCCTTTTTTGAATTCGATGAAAAAAGGTTAGGTTAGGTATTTTTTGATGACAAATATTTAATACAATGGGAATTAAATTTTACATGAAAGGAATTTTTTCTTTCTAACGCAAAGGAAGGAACCCATTGCTGCTATTTGATGCTGAAAAGTGGTTTTTCCCATCCTTCACATTATTGCACTTGTAACTTACTGTTTTAAAAGTAATTAACATGGTTGGGTTAGGTAAGGAAATATCCAATTGCCCAACAGTTATGTAGCCAATATTCATAATGACCAGACGACGTGATAAATAATGAAGTTTAATTCAGTATTAATTACATAGCCCGATTTGACTTATCGCCAATTCGAGTAAAAAAGCGGCACGGCCGTACCATACTTTTCTTGAAGCAGTTCGGGCCATTTTCGACCCCCTATAACTTCGTTATGGATAAAGCTAGGAGCCTAATTTTTATTTAGGCCATCGCATGAAAACACAATGTATCTCACAAGTAATTAGATTGCTTAGTGCGATTGCCAAGTTAATCTATTTATTTAAAACATAAAAGATTTTTAACATTCATATGGTCACTATAAGATTAGAGTTAGGTAAGCTAATTACGTAATAACTTAAAACAGAAGGACCCTTAAGTAGGGACTGAATAAATTAACCGACTTGGTATTACATGGATCTCACAACTTTTTACGGTAGAAGAACTGAGTTGCGAGACTTGGTTTTTTTTACAAGTTATATTTTTGATGGCATTCATATTTCCCGCGCATCATAAAAAAGTGCCCTTATTTTGCTTTAGGTCCACCTCTTGCGAGAAAGATAATTTCGGCGCCGGTAATAACTATCGTTCTGTATCAGATTTAAGAAATTTAAGAAGCGTTCTTGGTTAGGAGTGTGTAATAACAAAGTCTTAACTTTTATCGTAATAAATATAGTAATTAGAACTAGAAAAATTGTTTAGAAATAAATAATTTACATTTAACAAAGAAACAAAATAATTTTGGTTTACCATTAGCTCTAGTATTTGTAAGTTATGTTCAACAGTATCTCGGTGCTAAACTCTTTAACGAGCTGTATTACAGTTCGTATTGAAGAAGCGATCGAGCGGAACCAGAGCTCTAATGTCTTTGCCAGACATCCGTCTGTCAGAAAGAGCCAATATGGCGGAATCGTTACCGGGACACCTGAAACTTTGAGTGAGATTGAGAGGTTCTATGAGTAGCTGTATACGTCATCGTTGTAGTCACACGCAAGTGTGAGTAACGATCCAAGAGCAAGTCTTATCCGACACTATTCTTATGATATAATATAATAGACACATACTGCCTCGTTGGTCTAGTGGTTGTAGTAGGGCGACTGCTGATCATGAGGTCCTGGGTTCGAATCCCGGGTCGGGCCAAAACATTATTGAGTTTTTCTCTCAAGAAATTTTCAGTAACTGCCCGGAGTCAGGAAGTTGGCGGTGTCTCACCACCGTGCCTCGGAAAGCACGGAAAGCCGTTGGCCCTGCGCCCGATCTCTCTCCGGTCGTGTCGGTTTACCGTCCCATCGGATCATGAGGGTGAGGGAATAGAGAGTGCACCTGTGTTTGCGCATACACTTGGGCACTATAATCCTGTCCTGCGCCGATGGCTAGTCTCCGTTGTGACTGGCCGCTGTGACCGAAATTAGGTCTGGGGGACATTATAATAGACACATATACATATATTCTACCCCATAGAGGACAGAGGGAAACTGAAACAGTAGAATAATAAAGCGCACCTGCCAAGCGTCGAAACTACAGCAAAATCATAGTTATGAATCATATCAACAGTTCGCATCAACATTCGCTACGTGTTCTTGGTAGAACACGTAGCAAAAAACTTAAGAAATTGCTTCTAATCTTTTTTACTGGTATAATTATGAATGTTGACCGCATGCAGGTAAGATAAAAATTTGGACAATGTTATATTTCAAAGTCAATAATTATTATTTAAGTAGAACAGAGGTATCGTTTGTCGATTTAAGAAAATACTGTTCAGTTTAAAGATTTTCAAACGTACGGCAATACTAGATATTGAATAGAACCAATTTTACGCATTTTATCACGTTTAATTTTAATTTTTTTAATCCCTAACATTTCGGGCGGCTTACGAAAATTATTCACGGGAACCGTAAAGTTACTTTCTTTTAAAGTTAAGATTTTTGCTTTTAGTACACCATTGGATTTTTCTTTATTTCTTATACGTGGTAGAGCCACGCTGCAGCAATATTATGGTTGTAGCATGAATGGGTAGGCCCAACCGGGGAAGGATCATGCTCTCACAGAATACCAGCGTAAAATATGGTTCGTATGGTGAATGTAGAGAACCAGAGACCCGTTATATTGGAAACGAGCCATTCCATCTTAGTCCTCAAGTCCTTCTTAATGGTGGACTAAGTGGTGTAATAGCGCTGCGGGGTAATCTTGAAGGTACACGAAACTACAAAGTTCCATTAAACTAGGGAAATCTTGTTTTCTGAATTCTATCACCTATCAAGGGAAAAGTAGAAAAATTCAATTACTTGATTCTCTCAAAGATTAATAATTAAACGTTAGAGTATCAAGTACAACTTTATGGACACTCAGCTCTCTCAATGACGCTGTCTATGTATACGGAATTTCTAATTTCGCTATTCATTACACTTAAAAGTAATAGCAGGAACTCAGTTGCGATTAAATATGTATGGAGTTGTTTGCCTTTTGACTGAGACTCGCATTGTACTCATTAGGCGTCTGCTTAACTTCGTGGTCCTCACAACAATCCAGAGACAGAATATCAATGGCCGTGCTAAACTGTGTTTCAAGTATGAAGATTGAGAATTGAAGATTTTTTTTAGAAAAGCGTAATCAATGGTATTAATAAGTAATTGTAAATAATAATGTCCTCCAGACCGAATTTCAGTCACGACGCAGCGTCCAGTCTCAACGGAGACTAGCCATCTGCGCCGTTTAGGATTATAGCGATAGTGCCTAAGTGTATGCGCAAGCACAGGTGCACTCTCTGTTCCATTACTCTCACAGTCCGATGAGGTAATAATTCCTCACAACTGGAGAGAGATCAGGCGCAGGACCGAAGGATTTACGTGTTTTCCGAGGCATCTGGGTGAAACACCACCATCTTCCTAGCTCCGGGCTTCTACTGAAAATTTCTTGACAGAAAAACCCATTAACTGATTTTGGTCCGACTCGTCGATAAACTAAAAGGGGAGAAGTGTGCGTTAAGCTTCGGCTACATTCAGCGACTGCTGCATTGCACAACGTCCACACGATAACGTCATGCCATATCGTGGCCTATGGACACCTACATGTATCCTCGTTTACGAATCAAAATGCATATGCGTTGTCCCCCGTGAGGACTAAGATGAAATGCCTCATTTCCAGTAAAAAGGGTCTCCGGTTCTCTACACTCACCATACGAAACATAGCAGCATTAATCTACTATTTTACGGTGGTATTCTATGAGAGCGTAGTCCTTCCCCGGTCGAGCCGACCCATTCGTGCTACAACTATACTACTAATATAACTGCAGCATGGCTCTAACGCGTATAATTATTATACGCGTATATATATTACACCACGTTAATTACATTTCTGATGAACTGACGACTTGAATCCTTTATTGTTCAACAGTTACATTCCTGCATTGCGAATCTAGTGGAATAGTTTCAAAATATACAAAAAAGGAAAACATATGCCAGTGGGGCAAGGCGGTGTATTTATCAAAATATTAGTAACAGCATAGTTTTTATATGAATGTATGTCAGACTGCAGCCTGATAATGCTGCAGCGCTTTAGGTCGTCTCGACGGTAGCAGGACCATGCTTGTACAGAATATCAGCGTGAAATAAATAAATAAATAAATTCTCTTTATTTCAGGCACATTGCATCCGTATTACTTACCAATAATAAAAAAAGACAATACAGTACAAAATTACTAA